ATATGAATATCTCTATAGTTCATAGCAATTCCCAAAGGCGGGATAAGACCTCGAGAAATTTGTGTCCACAGATTACCTCCCATGGTTAGACCCGAATCCAATTCCCGACGATTTCGGATCCGAACCTCAGGAGGTAATGTATCTAACTTATAGATAACCGGAATGACAAACCCCAAAGTACATGTCCCTGACCAATTTGCAGGGATTTGTTGATATGCCCACAGTCCACATAAAAACCAAAACCCTTCCAGCTGTACATAACCTTGTTGACTTGCCGCTTGCATCAGCTGTTTCATGTCTAGATATTGATACTGGCCAAATGCGTCAGACTCATTTTTCCCATTTACCCAAGTTATGTTGTTCTCTGAACCATTTGTCCACTTAATAGTGTAATTGCAGACACTATGATTCCCCAAGAATTGTGAGTTTGTAATGTTTTGGAAACATAAATGTGCTGGAGACTGCAGTGCAGTCTTCACCTTGACTGTGAAGTTCATGGCATATGAAATGTTATGCTTTCCGGTCTGCAAAGTAGACCGATTAAATGGAACTCCATGTAGAGTCAGTCCTTCTCCCACTCTCCCAGGAAGGTGCATACACAACCAACAATTGGTGATGTTCAAGTTTTTGGCAGTTGTGCGCAAATCTTTAATGTAATTATTATCTGTCCACAAATCATCGCCCAAATCTCCGGCACGCTGAACATGCTGTCGCTGCTCTCTCCGCACCCGAGCAGCCCAGGACAGATTAGGCAGAATCAGCAGGATCAGGAACCACAGATGCGCCATCCTGCTCCTCCGAAACTTCCTTCACAGGTGCCTGCGAATGATCAGGTCGAACACACCGACCAGGAACCCAACGAATTTGACCAAGATGTTCAACTGCTGCATAACCACGTCCCCACGTTATCAGCTCAGCAGGAACCCATGCCGGATCTGGAAGGAACCGCACCAACACCCGAGGTCTTACCGCATCTGTAGAAGGAGAAGAAAAATGCCTGCTGGCCGCGCTCGCAGGGGGGTTACCAGACAAATTTAAAAAATTTAAAGTATACAAAGCTAGATTTAATTGATCTTGAATCGCCGGAAGCCCCAGGAGCTTCCCTCCTTTTTTATTTAATTTAGTCAACATGGTCTTGAGCGTGGAATTATGACGTTCTACAATAGCCTGCCCAGTAGAATTGTATGGAATGCCAAATTTATGTTCCACAGACCATTGTTTGCAAAACTGATCAAAACCGGTGCTCCGATAAGCCGCACCATTATCTGTTTTTAAAGTTTTAGGTGTTCCAGCAACTGAAAAAGTCTTAATGCAATGATTGATGACATGTTTAACCATCTCACCTCTTTGAGGGGTAGCCATTAAAAATCCTGAGTAAGTATCCACAGTTACATGTATATATTTCCAGGGCGCAAATGGCGGATATTGAGTAACATCCATTTGCCAAATCATTGAAGGTTTCAACCCTCTGGGGTTAACTCCCATAGGGATATTCGTGCCCTGCTTTGAACAAGTTGGACATTGTTGAATTATGGCAGCAGCTTCTGCAGTGGTAAGTTTAAATTGCTGTGCCAATGCTTTAGCGTTTTGATGAAAATAACTATGACTATCCCATGGCTGAACAGTGAGGACTGAAGTTACAGCACTGTCAGCTTTGGCATTACCTTGTGATAAAATTCCAGGCAAATTACTATGACTACGAATATGAGCAACAAAACACACATTCACACGCTGCTCCAAACATCCTTGTAACAGCAAAAGCAATCTTAAAATATCAGGTGAGATTCCAGGAGACAAATAAGAACCTGCTACAAAGGGTAACAAATTATACACATACAATGAATCCACTATTAAATTAAAATCCTGATTGTGAAAATTTTGAAAAGCCAAAACTACAGCAGCAAGTTCTGCCTGCTGGGCAGACTTCTGCTCTGAAGTCACTTTTGTATGCCAAATTCCAGATTTATCTTTCCAAACACAAGCACCAAAAACTTTCCCTCCATCAGTAAAAACTGTAGGAGCATCTGATATGCCCAATGGTATCCTTTCTTACATTTTGGGCACACTGATTTAGGACGAACACCCTGTCCCATTGATCTCTTATTCTGCTGACTTTGACCCCCTCCAGGAGCCCGACATTGCGCTTTAAAATGTCCAGGCTTCCCACAATTGAAACAATTCCCCTTTTGAGCATGTCCTGTTTGTAAAGCCAGAGCTAAAGTCTCCATGTTAAAAGACTGACTCCCAACCTTCCTACATGCATTAATCAAATCTGCGATTTCTCGCTCCCCACTTGCTACCAGTGGATTTAAAATCTTTTTGCAATCTGTGTTAGCTTGTTCTACTGCTAACTTAAAAAGCAACTCTTTTTGGGCGAATTGATTATCAATTTGTCTTTCAATAGCCAATTTCAGTCTGCTAATGAAATTTTCATAGGGTTCATTGTTTCCTTGTTTGATGTTAGTAAAGGTCTTCTCACCACCTTCGCCGTCAGGGAGAGACCCTATGGCTTGAAAAATTATTTGTGGGAGAAGAACGAACCCCTCATCAGGCATACCATCTCTCTGTTGTTCCACTGTTGTAAAATTACCAGCTCCGTAAAGCTGATCTGGGGTAACATTTGCTGTTCCCCTCTGGACTGCCAGCTGTCTCCATTTCTGATCTAACACCAAATATTGAGCTGGAGTTAAAATCATATTCAACAGAGCTTTCCAGTCAGCCGGAATCATTTTATTTCCATAACCAACTGCTTCTAACAATGCCTGAGTATATGGCGTTCTAACACCATATTCTTTTGCTGCTTGCTTAACTTCCCTCAAAATTCTGAGCTGTAAAGGCTTCCACTCCCGCCGCGGATTTAATGCAGCATCCATGACAATTTCCACTGGATTAAGTTGAACTTCTACTCCAAACTCCACCAAATCATCTCCTGATAATTCCCCTCTATTCTTTGCTTCTTGAATAGCTGCAGTAACGGCATCCACCTGAACCCTTAAAGGTAAACTCTTATCCTCTGACAAAGTATTTCTAGCGCCGGACAGTTCCCCAGATTTATCTGGAGGTGCCGTCGGCGGCAACAAACGTACCGCATGGTAAAGCGGCAAACCTTCTTCGGGGGGTGATAGGAGCGGTTGTTCATAAGTAGCTAATGCATCCATAATCACTCTCCAGGTTAACAAAATTGAAGAAGGGGCACGAGGCTCCTCGTGCAAAAATTTCCCTATCTTTTTCCAGGACTCTACTTTAATACTACCTCCCTCCGGATATGACTTAATATTTTTCCAAACATACTGTAGTAAGTCCTCAATTTCTTTCTTTCCTACAGCACAACCCCTACTGCCAATTCCAAACCCAAAACTATTCCCAATGATCCCTCTCAATTCCCTGATGTGCTCTTTCTGAGCCTTCGAGAGATCTCCCCCCATACTCACGAAAAGAATCTATCTTCGTCCAGCGAAGAAGATGAGGGCCCAGTCGACGTCCGCGACGATGAGTATAGGATGCGGGAAACGTATAGCCTTCCAAGCTATCACGTCGGGGTCACCATTTATGGTGGTTTGACATTGAAATGAGACACAGGGAACTGTCTCTGAGAAAAATGCCAACCCTGAGTGAACTCAGGTAGCAGTATTTATTGAGAAAAAACACAAGCAAAAATACAGTATGCATATTCAGAAAACAATGACCTCAACAGGAGATTACTTCACCAGCATGAGAACACACAATCTTGGAAAATCCCAGATGTTACCTTGCTAGGATGAGATCATACAGCCACGGAAAGTCTCATGGGAAAGTTTGGAAAGTCCCATGAGAAAGCACAACTGTGTATCTTGTACCTTGAACTTTCACCCATTTTCCTATTCCTTCTAAACTGGCAGAATCAAAACAGAATGAGGCACTCTGAGCAAAGATACTCCTACCCCCACCAAGAATGCCCACATCTTCCTAGACTTACTGCTAGTTATACAAAGGCCTTACAGAAAATGATAAAATGATCAATAGGTTATATTACCACAGTCCTGAATGTGGAACTCTTGTAGGATTGTCCATGCAGAAGGGAAATTGTGTGCTTTGTTCTCTTCTTCAGTCTTTGAATTCTCTGAAGGATGTAGAAGTCTTTTATTCTTTTAAAATTAGCAAATTAGGAGAAAATAAGTTTGTCAGTAGCGTTTTCACTAGGTCTGGTGCATGGAAATGCAGTTTTCCTAGGCCTTAGAGTGACTATTAAGGCCCATGTAATCTGTCCTTTACTTTTTAAAAGAATTGTATGCTACTTATATGGAATATTATCTCAAAATCAGTAAATGCTCTGCCAGTTGATTCCCTCATTCCTAGAATCTTTAGTTAGAAAAGTCTCAGCCTAAGACTCTGGAGATCCCAGAGAGAGGAGGAAAATTTTAGCCACAGAGACTAATAATAATACCAACCCAGAAGGAATGTGGTAGTAATTTTATGACTAATAAATTTTAAGAAAGCGCATAAGCTTCCATATGCGGCAGGTTATTTCATCATACTTCGCCATGGATTGCAGCTCACAAAAGCTTAGGCCCTTTCATAACATTGGCTGCTCAGAAAAGGTGCTACCAGACTCCTTGTGATTATGGAGTGCTGTAGATTATCGTCTTACTGTTGGAGTGAAAAAGGAAGTCTTGTGTGAAAAAAGAGAATCCATTGTCGAAAGAGAATTTAAGTATTTTAGTCGTTAAGAATAGAAGTTAAGTCAATACCAGCAAACCAAAAAGAACAAATTAAGTTGGGTCACAGTTTCGTATGCTTCTTCTTTGACAGGGCCATTTGGTTTTCCAGTTCAGTTAAATGACAGTATTAGGTATTTTTGCAAACCCCTTCTTTCCTTTATAATATCTCAGGTGGTTTATGTGTCTCTCAACATGGAAAGCTGCCTGAGGTTTTATTCAGTCAACTTTATACTGCCCAAAGTCTCTGGGAGATTGGGAGTTAAGAAATATGTGGTATAAATAAATAAATCTGGCTGCATCTTCTAGGATATTTGGTTCTCTTCCCCCCTCAGGCTGCAAAGAAAGCAGGGTTGTCCTCAGACAAAAGCCAGGAGCTTCTGAAAATGAGCACCTCACCTGAGATAAAGAATCGCCTGAGAGAGACAATGGATGAAGTCCTGAAGTTTGGGGTAAGGGCTAATATTTTATGAAATATATCTTCCAGTCACAGTTCATTTTCAAAAAGATGTAGGATCTTGGGAAGCTGAATTCTTTAATGCTCTGATGAGCAACTTTGTGGGCTAATGAAGTCACCTTAGAAGACCTGCATCCCCCCAGAACCTTCTGGCTGGTTTTTCCTGCCTCTTTGTAACTATTATCCATAGCTAGCATTGAAATATTGCTGTCAAATTTGTGAAGAACAGGGCAGATGTGCAGCCTTATAATAGTATAATATAGCACAGCAGCAAGGTAACTGCCTATTACTTCCCATTTAGTGAGTTATTTTACAAAACTATTCCATGCACAGGTCAGCTTGAACTGATGTGTAATAATGCGTAAAATCTGTTTATGAGGACTGATGTATACTTATGTGCCAACATTAATGCAATGGAAAGCAGTGAGCATAATCCACATTTGGGCCAATGGTAGTAGGATTTGCCTAGGATGCTTCTCAATCTCACTTAAGTTTTATAGTTTAAGCTAAAGTGCACCAGCAGAAGTATAGATCGTTGGATGGATGGCAAGTGGTGTTCAGTACTGTGAAATATAGTGATACTCAGAACACTCCAAAAGTTGACAAGTAAAAGGCAAATTTGGGAGATTTTACAAAGCATGGTAGTTGATCTATCTTTCCTTTTATGGCTTTTGATCTGTTTTCTCCTCATCCAGGTGAGCAGGTGAATTTTGATGGTATTTGAACATGTTTCCCTACAAAATAGCATTGGTGTGGAGGCACAGGTGAATTGGACCCATTTCCCAGTTCTTGGGTTGTGGGAGATGCAGTAATGTGCATTTTAAAAAAACTGTCCTTGGGAAATGCAAGTTAAATGTGCAGCAGCTACCTAATACAGAAGCTAATTGACACATTGGAACTCTTCTGGTTTGCATCTGTTACCCTGAACTAGTTAGATGAAGCAGATTTCTCTACTTATAACTTACGTTGGGTTTTCCCATGTAGGCATTTGGACTGCCAAGTTTTGTTATCCAGATTGATGGACAACCTCAGCTTTTCTTTGGCTCAGATCGTATAGAACTACTAGGAAATGTTTTGGGTGAGTGTTATAAATATTTTCGTCGTGAATTATTGAGGGGTTTTCTTTAGGTTTCATAATAGACCAAAACATTACAAAAGATGATTTTGCTTGTAGCTTCCATAAAAAAGGAAAACCTTGAATGTCCTGGGTTTGGGGGAAAATATTTTACTGCTATTATCACTTAATAGTATGGAAGTTGTCTGCCATTGCTTTCTTTTTCTTTTTCTCAATGTTAAAGTGTTGGCCCCAAACCCTTTTAGCATTCTCAAAACACTCCAGTTGACGTCGCCCAGCTGGGTTCCCTGTTAAAACAGCTTGCTATTAACATACTGTATCTCTGAGGACCTTAGAACAGGGTTTTCCACCCCCCTAGGTCATGGCCTGTTTTAAACTGGACCTCATTAGTGATGGGCAAGTATTCGTTTATGCGAACCTCCACTCACGCGAGCGGTGGGCACTTGAGTGGAGCTTCAACTCAAGTGTGCTTGCGGGCAAAGCTCCACTTGTGAAGCTCCATTCATGCAAATGGAGCTTTGTGCACCAGCACTCTATGCTTGTGCAAGTGGAGCTTCACTCATGAGCGCAAGCTCCCTCCGCTCACGCATGAAGCTCCATTTCTGCGGGTGATGGGTGTGTGCAGCCAGTGCTTACACCAATGGAACTCTGTGTGTGAACATGTGCCTACCACTCACATGCCCACCTTGTGCTGGGCCAGGCCGCCAAATTAGAAAGGTTGGGGACTGCTGCCTTAGAAGGCACATATAAGTGTGTTTACAAAGTACTAGAAAGAAAGAGGAGGTATGTCTAACCGAGAATTTACAAAGAGATGTGAAATGTCTTCATAATTTAAACATTATATAAATAGGCTGTAACTTACTGGGGTGGGATTCTGCCAGTTTGGGCCAGTTCAGGCAAACTGGATGTTAATTTTACATCCAGTTCGGTGAACCAGTAATTCTGAAGACCAGTTGGACCTGCCTGCCCCGCCCCTCCTCTCCCAGGAGTCCCCACGAGGCCCATCTGGCTCCCAGGTAAGTGTAGGATGGCCTCCTGGGAGCAAAAATGAAGTAAAATGTGCCTGCAAAGAGCCAACTATAGATCAGTCATATTTCAGATCTTTTCTTGAGATCTCAGAGCTTTCTTTTGCTTTGGAACAAAGTTCTGGAGTCTGATATACAGTGCAGTATTTTGAGCAATAAATATTTCTCAGATAGTTACAGGATCATCTCTCTTTGTTTCTTCATATTGTATTTTAGGGCTAGGATTAGAGTAGAGTAGATACAAATCATACTTTGGACTCAAGTCTTGAATCCAGTTGAGCAGCCTGGAATATTGAGTCAAATTGGATCTTGTAATAAAGCAAATGCAATAATGTTTTGTATTAACAATTAAAGTTGCGTGAAATTCTTCACGCTCAAAACATTTCAAGCTTAAAATACATCTCAGTTTTGCCATAATGGTCCTTGGGACAGGGTTAGAATAAGATGGGGGCAATTGTTCTTTGCTCAAAATGTTTCAGATCTGAAAAGTTTGAAGTGTAGGAGGAGATGTAATTAAATTTATTCTCATTTGTGGCTTTAACCTGTTTTCTGAATTTGATTTTTTGTTTGGTATTTATTTTCTTCACAGGAGAGAAGTGGCTGGGACCAGTTCCCACATCATCTAAGCTCTAGTTCTCAGGAGCAATGAGAAAAATAAGCAACCTAATAAAATGATAAACATCTTATCCTTCCTACTTTTACAAGATGACAGGCCAGCTTAATATAAAAGATCATAATAATTGTCTTCAAATACCATGCAGCTGGCAAGATTGAAGCTCTCAGAGCAGTTTTATACCCCTTCTTGCAACCTGAGTACCAGGATCTAGGTGGCTCTAAAGGTAGTGAATTGTCATGGAAAGGTCCAGGAGTTGAGTTCCTAGTAGAATATCATCTGTTACCTGCGATTGATGATTTCCCCAAAAGATGAAACTGGTCACCTAGTAGTCAAGGTAACTGACAATTCCCATGCGTTAGGAGTTTTCAGTATTTAGGATGCTTACCTGCAAGTATTATTTGCTCTCTTTCACCCTCTACCCCAGCCATCACAGCAATAAGCTATAATAAGTCTAGTTGAGAAAAGCACCTATCTGTAAAAAAATTTCTGGATTACTTTTCACCATCATTCTCCATCATTTATATCAGTGGTCCCCAACCTTTTTTGTACTTGCAGACGTTTCATTACCTGACTAGGTAACATCTGATGTTGTTACCTAGTCGGGTAATAAAACGTCTGCCAGCAAACCACCAAGTTCAGGGAGCGCCTCGGCTCTGCCTCCCTCAGCCCCATCCTTCAGGTGTCTCCCTCCCTCCCTCAG